CTTTCATAATCAATATCTGTAGAATTTGAGCCGCCGCCCCCCCTATTTTGTAGGAATAAGCAAATAATGCACATAAGGGTGCCTCACGAGGCTTCTCGTTGTTCCTGGTATAGGACAGTGTTAGCTCCCCTCGTTTTGTGAGGTTTTTAGTGGAGGATGCACAGGGTTGTCCCCCTGTCCTAACAAGCCAGAAAATCATTTATATCAAACCTCATTATCACCTCAGAACTGCTGCTGCTGCCATTATGTTCAATCTCTGCAATTACAGTCAAGAATTAACAGTATTCCATATTTTTATTTATAAATTTATATAATCTCCGACTGCCAATTTGTATGTTCTCAAGAATTTTAGGTTCTGGCTTATAAAAGTTTATCTTCTGCGGTATGAACAGTCTGTATCCCCACTCTCACAAGTGTGTAGGAAGCATCTACGTAGGGCAAAGCGAAGCTCTGGATCTGGTGGTAAGGGGCACGCTTCCTCTGGGTTTGGCCAGGTCATGGCTCTGTCCGGCCGGCTCCAGCGACCCTCAGGCTGTCCGAGGGAAAGCCGGGGCAGCCCGCAAGCTGCTGGGGAAGCGCGCTCTCGGGGAAGGCTCCCAGTGCGGGGAGTTTCAGCCTGCATGGTGTGAATTCGCGGTAGGCAGTACTCTTCAGGACAAGGCTGTCCTTTGCCTTTCTTTCTTTCTCTTCTTTCCCTTTCCCTTCTTTCCCTTTCCCCTTCTTTTAAAAACAAAACAAACAGTCTTACATATGAGAACTTCTGGTTTCTACAGGAAGTTGGAAAGCCTTAGTAACACGCACACCTCTTGAGTGTCATTTAAGTGATTTTGTGTGTGTGTATGTGGGGGGGTTTGTTGGAGCTGATGTTTCAGAGCTCAAGGTAAAGGTTAGTACAGCTACTACTCTGAGTAACGTGCAACCTTCTAGCAATCAGGTATTTGATAAGTGGTGAAAAGAGGCAGTCAACTGGGAAGGAAAAAGGATTGGGGTATCTACACACATTCATTTATTTTATGGAAAATAAAGGTTGCAGGTAGCTGTAGAAAAATGTATTTAAAAGGTTTCTGCAAGGCTAAAATCAAATGTGGACACTAATGATTTACTATGCTACTAAGTATCTGTGGTTTTCTTGCCTCTGTTTCTGTCCCGGGTGTCTGTTTTCCTTGGTACATTACCTGGTATCTAGCTTGGTACATATGGGAAAATGCAGCAAGTTTCCTTCTGGAACGCAAAAATTTGCCCTATTATCCATATTTTTACAAGTTTAGTTGCATCTATATGCTTTGGTTTGACACAAATGCCTATTGAATAAAATAAGTGCAGGGAAGTGCTTAAAATACAGTAAGTGAACGTAAGAATAGTTATGCAATGCCTTTCTGCAGCCATCTTTGTAACTCGCTTGGCACAGCACAGGAAAATTCAGAAATACTTCTATGGCCCTGCTGCTTTCACTTCAGGGAAAGCTGCAGCTGGGCTGACCGATGTGAGTGAGAGCTGCATCGCATAGCAGCAAATGCAAGAGCTTCTTGGAAAACACTTGTGCAGAAATGGACTGGAAACAACGACTGCATTCATATTTGATACAAAGACTTTGTTTACTTGAGTGTTCTGTACATATACGAGAATAGGGAATGGCCTCAAAAATATGTATACATTTTAGAGAGAAAACTCATATCTGTACATTTCCTTGGAGCTGAAATGGATACCTGCTGACAAAGAATTCTCCCCTGGCAACATTAGCCCGGTCAAACAATTGCCTGAAATGCCGTTTTCATTATTAAAATATTGTAAATAAACTATACCATAGTAAATGACAGGATCACTTTAAATATCCTATTTTATGCTGGTTTCAATTTAGCCTAGTTTAGCATATATTACTACGTTTGAAACAGCAGTTGTGGCATTTTATAACTTGGGTTTTCCCCTAGGGGGAAGGGTACCCTGTAACTAATTTGACAGAAAACCCAAGCGAATCACTGCGCGATATTTTTGCTACCCAAGTTCTTTAAACCCAAACGACCCTAAGAAATGGGATCCAGGAATGCAAAGGGTTGCATAGTGCCAGTTGTATCAAGTGATGTATCCATATATCAAAACAAGAGGATGCTAAATCTTAATGCTTTCTAAATAAAGAGAAACATTTTTGTTCTTGACACACTCCTGCTCTTCCACTGTGTATTTTATATCAGGTTTCTGTATTACTCTGAAGATATTACTATGGTTGCAGTAACATGGATCTTTATATTATAGGACTGAATTTGGTCCAAGTTTTTGCAAGCCTGGTCACAGTTCCCTGACCACAGACACGCTTCTCTGGGAAATTATAGATGTGCAATACAGTGCCAATTAGTTGCCTCAGAGCATGAAGATAAAACAGGTTTGCAGGAAGCTGATGATAACCCTGCTGGAACTGTGTGCCTGCATGTAATTTAAGCCCACTTGTATCAGCTTTTGTATATTTAGACTATGCTCAAAGATGATGGGTAGATGATCTACTTGTGTAAGAATAACAGTGATTGCTGACAACGCTTTATAGTCCTCACGAAGGACCGGCTCTTCCCGAGGTGTTCGGCGCGTTGGGGAGGCATCCCCCGGGGATGCTCCCGCTGCGGGGAGAGGGAGCTCTTTCCTCGCTGCTGCTTTCTCCCTGGAGACTGCTGCGGGCCCTGCGGCGGGACCAGGGCAGGAGATAAAGTACACCCTCGCAGGGCGGCACTCACGAGGATTCCGGAGACTTCAGATGAGGAGCAGATGGAGAAGACGAGGAGGGCTGGGAAGCAGAAATCATGGGCGCCGCTCTCGGGGCTGAAATCTTTCTGAAAATGGAGTCCGAGGGGCGGGGGGATCTGCACAGGTATTACTTGAGAAACGCTGAATCACGC